AAAAATATATATATATTTTAAATTGATTTTAGAGAGGAAGGGAGAGGGATAGAGAGATAGAAAAATCAATGATGAGAGAGAATCATTGATCGGCTGCCTCCTGCACGCCCACCACTGGGGATTGAGCCCACAACCCTGGCATGTGCACTTGACCAGAATTGAACACAGGACCTTTTGGTCTGCAGGTTGACACTCTATCCACTGAGCCAAACCAGCTAGGGTGCAAAGCTTTAAATAATTTTAGAAGAATGGACATTTGCAATCAATCATCATGTCCTCACTACTCTACAGTAGCTTTGGGACTCTAGTGGCAAATGATGGGGATTTGTGATTTTGAATTACATACTAGATCATTTGATAAAACATCTCTCTGAAAGCTTTAAAGTTGTATTTACTTTCCCCTATAAAACTTATTTTATCATAGTAGATAGCTAGATATAGATATATAACTCAATATCAATTTAAATTATTTTTAAAGTAGAAAATACAGCACACTGACCATGCTCTATATTATAATAATTATGGGATTAAAGAGTTGCCGAGTCTCTAATTAGGAGTTTCTCCCTAATATGGGAAAAACATAGTTTTTTTGAGAGTTCCAATTGGGAAGAGGAATTTTTAATCCTATAAAATTTCTATCCAGACTTGGAAATGTTGCCTGTTTAATTCTTATTACAAAACAGGGGATTCCTGTTAAAAGTAGTGGGGGAAAAGCTACTTTTCTGTTATACATCTAGGAGAACTTGAATTGCTCATATAGGGGCTTCTTACAATCCTCAATATGAAAATCACTTAATTTCCTGTGCTGGTAATGTAAGTAATATATGCTTATGGTAAAGCTTCACATGATACAGAAAAGTATAAAGAAGAAAAAAAAAACTTAAACTTTTGTCACCTTGAGCCATAACCACCGTTAACATGTTTGAAAGGCCATCCTTTTATCACTCAAAGACCATTCATCACAAGGGATAAGTTGGCATAGACTGAAATATGAGTTCAGTTTCATGATGCTATCTATGATTAATACCCATCTTAAAGCTGTGACTAGAAAAGCAGTTGTACTTGCTGCATTCCCAGGGGACCCTTACCTTGCCTGAAGCCATCTAAGAGAAAGACTTGTCCTACAGTTAGCCTAGAGTGTGAAGGGTACCATGGAATTGAGCCCATGTAAGTCTTTGAAGGGCCTTCAAAAGCAGGCAGATTGCCTGGCTGGCGTGGCTCAGTGGTTAAATCAGAAGGTTACGGTTTGATTCCCGGTCAGGGAACATGTCCGGGTTGCAGGCTTGATGATCCCCAGTGTGGCCATAGATCAATGATTCTCTCTCATCATTGAGGTTTCTATTTCTCTCTCTCCCTTACTCTCTGAAATCAATAAAAATTTATATATTTTTTTTAAAAAGCAGGCAGATTTTGGGAAAGCAGAACTCATCTTGCTGTTCAAAAATTTTTGCTTAACATTGCTTATTCTAATACCACCTTCTACAAGTAAAATGTTGGATTTCTAATCTCATGAGATGTGTTTTGTAATTTGAAATTCTGAGAAGATGGACTATGAAAATAACTGGCTATGATGATAAGTTAAATATCTCATCATTGGATGAGTTTCTGATTCAAAGATAAGACCTTTAAAGTATTTCTCGTGTTTGCTTCAATCACATCATGATTGTTCTCATTTCAGATCACCCCTATTTTGTTGGTGTCCAATTCCATCCTGAGTTTTCTTCTAGGCCGATGAAGCCTTCCCCTCCATACCTGGGACTATTACTTGCAGCAACTGGGAACCTGAATGCCTACCTACAACAGGGATGCAAACTGTCCTCCAGGTAACCAGCTTAACAATGACCCAAGATGCGGTTATTAACACTCTAGGTTTCTCATAAACTTTTTAAAAATATGTTTTTATTGATTTCAAAGAGAGGAAGGGAGAGGGAGAGAGAGCGAGAGATAGAAACATACATGAAAGAGACACATTGATTGGCTGCCTCCTGCATAACCCGCAACGGGTAGTGAACCGCAACCTGAGCATGTGCCCTGACCAGGAATTGAACTGGTGACCTCTTGGTTCATGGGTCGATGCTTAACACCTGAGCTGCACCAGCGGGGCTGTTTTCTTTTTAAAGTGAAGGAACCAAGAGGTCGCAGGTTCGATTCCTGGTCAGGGCACATGCCCGGGTTGTGGGCTCGATTCCCCATCCCCAGTGGGAGATATTCAGGAGGCAGCCGATCAATGATTCTCTCTCATCACTGATATTTCTATCTCTCTATTCCTCTCTCTCTCAAAAATCAATAAAAACATTTAAAAATAATAATAAAGTGAAGAATTGTTTTTTCCTTCTTAATTGTGACTTTTTCTCTTAATAAAAATGATCTAATCATATCTACAATAGTAACCTGTCAGTTTTCCAAATTATGCTAATTCTGGGGCATTATTCTATAAATTTTTGTCATTTTGATAAGTGAAAAATAGTTACTTTATTGGCTCTTTGTTTTATAAATTATCTGTTCATATCCTTTTCCCTACTTTTCCTTTTGCTATTATATCTTTTTTCTTAATGATTGGCAAACTCTTTATATATAAAGGTCATTAATCCTTTGTTAGGTTGCAAATATTTTTTCAAAGTGATTTTGTTTTCTTCCTTAAAGAGTTTGAAATAAGGAATTTATTTAAATAAGTTCTTATTTATGCATATATTTCTTATTTATGTAGTCAAATCTTTTATGAATTCTGTCTTTAGTGTGAGTGTGTAGTCTTTTCTTATCAAAAAATTATATAAATAATAACCCATTTTTTCCACTAGCACTTTTATGGTTTTTATTTTAAATGAAGTTTAAATCTCTAATCTATATGAACTTTATGTTTGGTATAGTGTGTAAGGTAGGGATCTGGCTCCCCCCCTCCCCACTCCACCCTGCCCCAATTGTTAGTAAGTTGAGTAATTTAGATTTTTTGGGGGGGATTTTTGTTTTGTTCTGTTAATGTCACCTCTTATTTCTGAACCCTTGCAACGCTTTTCATTATAGCATTATTGTAAATCAAGCCTACTCCCATTATTATTTAACATTTTAAAAAAGGTATTTTGCAGCTCTTCCAGATTAACTGTAGAATGATTTTTTTCTTTATTGTTCAACAGAACAGATTATTACAGATGTTCCTCTTTTTCCCCCCCATATCTCCCCTCCACCTGGTTCCCATCCCACCCCATGCCCTTACCACCTGCCATTGTCCTCATCCATAGGTATAAGATTTTTGTCCAGTCTCTTCCCGCCCCCCCACACCCCCTTCCCCCCCAAAATTGTCAGTACACTCCCTTTCTATGCCCCTGCTTCTATTATAATCACCAGTTTATTCTGTTCATCAGATTATTTATTCACTTGATTTTTAGATTTACTTGTTGATAGATGTGTATTTGTTGTTCAG